AGATTTTGAAGAATGTTCGAAAGAACTGATGTGAACGGAGAGAGAATAATTTCAAGAGCAGAGGAACATGCAAGTTACTCGGGATGGATGAAGGTGATGCGGATTGCAAGGCGCTCATCATGCAGGAGTACAGGGATTCAGGAACCAGCAAGAAATAAAAGCATAACGGATCAAACATAAAAAGGCGACACAAAAAAGTGGCGAGAGCCTTTGGCTCCAATCGAAGAACAAAGAAAGGAGCCAACGCGCCCCCCAAATGCCATGAGGAAACCCTCATTCATAGTTTACATATTTACTGCACGAGGGCAAGTTAGGAAATAAAAGAAGTTTGATCAGTCCGTGTTTCCAAACAGCGTTCGGTGATTACCAGCAGCTGTTTTTGCTCGTGGGCGATGGACTACACTCGTCTTTTCGCCTGAACTGGATCCACCACCAAGGAATCCACAAGATGGGCATGGGCATTGCTTGAGTTCTGCAACCTCAGCCTTGAGCGCAGCAACCTGTGCCTCCAACTCGGCTATATGATGCTTATAAACCTCTTTCGCCCCATGGAGTTGCTTCTGCATTGTGGAAGGCGAATTAGGTCCACTCCCATCTGTAAAGGAGCTAGAGTTCAAGGAATGCATGAGTCCAGGAGTGTGAAGAGGAAGCTCCGAAGAGCCGGTCGAGATGGATTCGGAGCGCGAGCTCCAGAGAGATGGCGTGGTAGGAGATTGCGTGCTAAAATGTCCACTCGTAGATGGTGACATGTAGCCTGCAGTCGGAAGAGGAGGGTTCGCAGCCGAATTCGAAAGGTAATCAGCGGGCATGGAACTAAACATGGTGGACATGGGTCGCAAGGATAGACCTTTGAATCCTTGAATGGTCGAGGGCGCAGAATTAGGCTTCAATCCAGTAGTGGGCGAAAGTGTGGAAGCAGACGATTGCTTGCGTGGGATGGCGTGTCTCGTGGAAGAGGAGGGAGGTGGAGTTGCTGACTTCTGAGGGATAGAAATGGGTGGAGGTGGCCTAAGGTCATGCATCTGTGGTTGTTGAGACTGTGGAGATGTAACCACAACGTTCAATGCAGGGGGTGGAATCCTCTTTGGTGCTCGGACCTGAGGCGTTTGATCTGGGTGTGGCGATGGCACAGCAGTGGTCGGTGTTGATATCGCAGGTGAAGAAGATATCGTGACTGGATGCACTGGCGTCGCAGGTGTCGAGCCGGATCGGATGGGCAGCGAGGGGACCGGTGGAGGCGATTCTGAACGCCTGTCCTTTTCCTTTCCTCTCGCAAACAATCCCATCAAACTTCTTCTACCTTTGAGTGTCTTTGCGCCAGTCATCGGA